ACCATGATTCTCAATCAGAGAATATGTAAAAAAAAAAAAAGTGTACTAACTCTAGGATGTGTTATGTGATTTTTTTTCTTTAAATAGAAAAAAAAAAATGTCCTCCTTCCCTACTGGTTCTCTTATCATCTGCCATCTCATCAAATAAGATGGGAAAAAAAAAAATCCATTTGTATATTTCTATGTTCTCTTGAATTCTGGTTAGTTAAGGTTTAGTACAGTAAGTGACTTGTATACTAACCTACAATATGAACTTTATTTTAAAAATGTAATTTAATGTAATAACTCACATTTTTAAAAAAGGCTATAATGAATGCATCTTCAGAAAGCCCAGAAGGAAAAAAGTCATTCACCCTCCACACTGCATTAATGGACAGCAACTAGATGCAAATTGGTTGTAATGCTTTTTTTTTTTTTTTTTTTAGCGTTAATGGTTCATTTATTTCCTTCCTTTATTATTTTCTTAGAGAGAATGAGGTAATAAATTATTTATCAGGCTAATGTCTCCAATTTTGGATGGTGCATTGATATCACATTGAGAAGCACATTTACTTTTTTGCATAATATGCACTAGAAGATGTTGATATGTATTTACAGTTTCTTTGTAATTTGCATTTGTCCCAAATCCTTTTCCTCTTCTCCTTGTCACTCCCCACCAACATCAACAATTTTTCAATACATTTTGAAACAATGAGAATTATATGTAAATATGGCAAGTGTATTGTGAGTTGCCATCGAGTCAGCTCTGACCCACAGCAAGGCTGTGTGTGCAGAGTGGACCTGCTGTGTATGGTTTCTGAGGTCGTGACCTTTCAGAAGCAGGTCACCAGGCCTGTCTTCCAAAGCTTGAACCACCAGCCTGTCAGCTAATAGTTGTGCACTGAACTGTTTGTGCCACCCAGGTGGCCAGATAATGAGTTCTGTAAGACTGTCAGCAAGCTCTCAAAGATGAGATCTGATTGACACTTACGGCAGTCATGTGAGGCTATTGGAGGTGCATGAATTGCCTGAAGTCACATAGCCCAAGTGCAAGGGCCAGAATTGGAGGAAGTCAGTTTTCTGACTTTGACTGGAGTACATGCTCTCCATAGTTTAGGGAGCACTTAAGGGCATGGTTGGGTTCTTGTCAACCAACATGGGGTTGAATCCTGGTTCTATGACTTTTAGCGAGGTTTCTCATCTAGAAGAGGAAGATAATACTGCAGAGTAGATCAGAGGGTCTAGCAGAATGCCTGGCATGTAGAAATAGTCAGTACATACGGCGGCAGTGGTGGTGGTGTTATTGTTGTTAGAGTTCCTCCCTCTTCCAGTTTTTTACCCACCTGAAGCCTTGCATTGCCTCCTGTCCAACTGCACTCTAGTCTTTCTGTATCCCTAATCTGACACCTCTGTTTGGACCTTGAAAAATCATTGTGCCTTTGTCCTTCTGCCCTGGGTCCCTCCACCTCTCATGATCTTGAAGGGGAAGTCACAAAACTGTGTATCTTATCTGCCCTCTCAGAGCTTCTAAGCAATCCTTTTATTCATTTCTTGCTGACCTCAGTTTTCGTGCCCTCCTATAACTATTCTAAACTCTTCCTCCAACCCAAAGTCCCTCCTGCTACCTCATCTGTATCCATCACTTTCAGTAGTTAGGTCATGTACTCTAATTTACTTTAAAAGTATTGAGGCCCATCCTATACCCCTAATGCTTTCAGAGACCCTGTCTCTTTATCTGACTTCTTATGTTCTGGAGACCTTAGAAATGTTTCTTTCTGTTCCCTTGGAATATTGTTCCAACAATTTTTGCTTGTCTCAATTACATCCTTGGTTTCCCTACTTCTCCAGGCTCATCCACTAGCTCTCCTGACCATGCCATGGTCTTCTGTCTCTATATCTTTGCACAAATTTCTAGGAATTAACATTACTCATCCTTTAAGACTCTGCTCTAACACCATTTCCAATGTTGTGGGTCACCCTTCCTATAAATTCCTATAACTTTTTGTGGACCCATTTGCCTAAACAAAGTGGTTGTGACCTTTCCAACAAAAGGCATCATGTCTTAGTATTTCCAGCACCTGCCACAGTGCCCGGCCCTTAATAGTCACACAGTAACTGTAGTAGATAGACAAGTCCTACTGATAAGCATGGCTTTCCTATAATTTAAGAATAATCTTTTGACCCAGCTATTGCACTCTGTCTGTCCTTCCTTTACAAGCATTCTACTGCCTCACCACACATCCACTTGCATTTTAACATCTGATACTACTGTTAACCACCACCTGTCTGACACTTGGTCATACTGTAGTGGCTTGTATTGCTATGATGTTGGGAGCTATATCACTGGTATTTCAGATACCAGCAGGATCATTCACAGTGGGCAGTTTTCAGTGGAGCTTCTGGATTAAGACAGATTAGGAAGAAAGGCTTGGGACTCCACTTCCAAATATTAGCTAATGAAAACTCTAAGGATCATATCAGAGCACTTTTCAATATAGTGCTGGAAGGTGAGCCCCCTAGGTTGGAAGGTACCACAAAGTAGCCACAATGGTGGAGTTAAACATACTAACAACCTTAGAGATGGCATAGGACCAGACATTTTTTTTTTCCTGTTAGACATAAGGTCACTATGAGTCAGAGCTGACTCAGCAGGAGTAACAACAAAAACCACTACTGAATCTGCCCAAACTCTTCTCTTGACACTACTCTTTTCAGTGTGAACCACATCCTCTTTCTTGAGGTCCTAGCCTGGCTTTGTGATACAGTTCAAAGTTAGCTCTCTGGATGCCTCACAAACTCTACCTTCTTCTCTGCTATGTGGGCGTTCCTCAAGGTTTGGTTCATTTTCCTTCTCCATGTGGTCCTGCATGAACATTCTCACTCTTGGTTTTATGCATATAACATTCAAAGTTTAGTCTGACTAGAGTCCCAATTACTCCACCATGACTGAGTTCTAAATTCTCATTCCTCCTGCTTCCAAGATGGTAAGTACCTGTCACTTGTACCTCCACTGTATCACCCGAGACAGACATTATTCACTGATCATGCCACTCTGACTAAAGACAAGCTCCTGCTCAGAATCCTTCTCATTATTTGACTCTATCCCCCGGCACAGTGCTCTGTCTGGAAGGAGCTTTCATTCTTCATTTACTCTAGGTACCTGCTTCCAACCTATCAGAATTTATGGACAGTGTAACACTTAATAGTTATCCTTGTGGTAGAACACTTTCACTCATTTCCCAGTGAGACATCAAACTCACTTTGCTTAAAACCAACTTAGTATCTTCTCCTATATTTAGCCTAATTTCCTTCTGCTCACTATCCTTGTTGTTGTTGTTATGTGCCATCGAGTCGTCCCCGACTCATAGCGACCCCTCCTTGGGTTTCCGAGGCAGTATCACTACGGAAGTAGGATTGCCCAACCTTCCTGCCGAGGAGTGGCTGGTGGGTTTGAACCGCCAGCCATCTGGTTAGCAGGCAAGTGTCTTAGCCACTATGCTACCAGAGTTCTATTTCTTCATATATGTCTCTTATTCATCCCTTCCTTTTTATTCATGGGGCCACCATTCTGCTTCTGACACTATTATCTTTGTAGGCTATAATCTCTCAACTTGTCTTCCCGTTGCCAGGCTCTCCCTACTCTAGGCCACCTTGCCTCCAGATCAGTCTTCCTAGGGTACAGCCTTGGAACCCTTCAATGACTTTCTGTTACCCCTTAACTAAAACTTCTAATTTAATACAGCAAATAAATCGTCTTTGATTTTAGAGTCAGAAAGATTTAGATTCAAATTCTGGCTATTCCACTATTTACAGCTATGTGATTTACAGCCATTGCATTTACAGCTATGTGATTTTGAACCCAAGCACACGGCCATGCACATAGTAGTTACTTGGTGAATTCTATTGTGGTTTTATAGAAACCAGATTGGGGACCAGTCTGTGGCATAGTTGTAATGCATGGTATGTTTCTAAGATAATTCCTTTGTCTTAACAGTTACAGGCTCCTTGGGGAAAAAAAAAAAAATGAAACAGCTGTGTGAGGGGAGCTGTTCCTTTGTTTCTATTTGTTCTAAGCCTTCCCCCTCTACCACCCAAAGTACTATTCTACCTATGGCTGTTAGAAATGAATTCATAATGTTTATAGCTTGTATGTTTTGTTTGAAAAATCTGAATAACAAATCCACTCATGCTTCTTAGCAGAAATATTTTCCTTTCATTAGTTTTTTTAATTTGGTAATGAATAATATGTTGTTTCCCCTACTAGGACTTTAGTCCTGAAGTTTGTATTTTATTTTACATGTTTTCAACTTGCTGTTTTTAGGTTCCCAGCGATCTTACGTTAAATTAAGTATTTGTCAGCCAGAAACAATAGCTTAACAATTGCCAAATTATAACCATACCTTTCCTCTGCCACATGAAATCCTATAAACAGCCTGTGATCATATTGCTTCTAGAATTTACGATTGTTTTCTTCCAAAAGGAAGCTAAATTTAGCCCAGTAATTCTACATGCTCCCAAGGAAACAATGTCTGCTGTGATTTCTAGAATAAAAGAATCTGAACCACAATTCCTTTACTTGACTAACTGAGAAAGTGTAAATATCAACATAGTCATTAACCACAGATACCAAACCTCATTAAACAACCAGCAAATGGTTAAGACAGTAATGTGTTATATTTCTTGTTTCATTGCTGCATGAGTCTCACTTAGTTGCTATATGAGTCTCAGTTGCTGTATGAGTATCTTAATACATAACATTGTTTGCATCTCATAATGGTTCTCTAAAATTACTCGTTCATGGCTTGAGTTCTAAAATTAGACTATATGGAGTCATGTCCAACTGCACAATGCATCTTTATGTGAGCCCAGCTAGAGTTTTTTGTTGTCATCCTAAATTAAAAAAAAAAAAAATCCAGTTAAGAAGCTTGAGTTCCAATAGCTTAACTGGTATAGTTCTTGCTGTTTTTTCCATTTTGTTTCTGTTGACAACTAAAGTCCTCTCCTCAAATGTATTTTTGCAGATAACCTTCCCACAATGAAGGCCTCTGCTGTGCTTGCCCCTGGTGTCCTCGTGCTCCTGTTTGCCTTGGTGCAGAAGAGCGGTGGGGAGTGCAAAGAGGCACTCGCCAAGTCCGAGATGAATATGAACATGAAGTACCAGCTTCCCAACTTCACTGCAGACACACCCATCCAGAATGTCGTCTTACATGAGCATCACATTTTCCTCGGTGCCATTAACCACATTTATGTTCTCAATGACAAAGACCTTCAGAAGGTTGCTGAGTATAAGACTGGGCCTGTGTTGGAACACCCAGATTGTTTGCCGTGTCAAGACTGCAGCAGCAAAGCCAATTTGTCAGGTAGCGTTTGGAAAGATAACATCAACATGGCTTTACTTATTGACACGTACTATGATGACCAGCTCATTAGCTGTGGCAGCGTCAACAGGGGGACCTGTGAGCGGCACGTCCTGCCGCCTGGTAATCCTGCTGACATACATTCGAAGGTTCATTGCATGTACTCCCCACAGGCGGATGATGAGCCCAGCCAGTGTCCTGACTGTGTGGTGAGCGCCCTGGGAACCAAAGTCCTCCGCACTGTAAAGGACAGGTTCATCAACTTCTTTGTAGGTAACACCATCAATTCTTCTTACCTTCCAGGTCATTTATTGCATTCAATATCAGTGAGAAGGCTAAAGGAAACGCAAGATGGTTTTAAGTTTTTGACAGACCAGTCCTATATTGATGTTCTACCTGAGTTCCGAGATTCCTACCCCATTAAGTATGTCCATGCCTTCGAAAGCAACCACTTTATTTACTTTCTGACTGTCCAACGGGAAACTCTGGATTCTCAGACTTTTCACACAAGAATAGTAAGGTTCTGCTCTGTAGACTCTGGGTTGCATTCCTACATGGAGATGCCTCTGGAGTGTATTCTCACTGAAAAGAGAAGGAAGAGATCGACCAGGGAGGAGGTGTTTAACATTCTTCAGGCTGCGTACGTCAGTAAGCCTGGGGCCCATCTCGCTCAGCAAATAGGTGCCAGCCCAAATGATGACATTCTTTATGGGGTGTTTGCACAAAGCAAGCCAGATTCTGCTGAACCAATGAATCGATCCGCCGTCTGTGCGTTCCCGATCAAATACGTCAATGAATTCTTCAATAAGATCGTCAACAAAAACAATGTGAGATGTCTCCAGCATTTTTATGGACCCAACCATGAATACTGCTTTAATAGGGTAAGTCACACAGACTCCTCACTTACAAATTATGGAATATAGATCAGAATAAGCATCAGTCTAGAAAAGATTATCAAGGTCTTTTTCATGCCTGATAAAAGGTTTTCATCTAAAATATTTACAAATTCTATCTGAGAAAATTTAGAAACTGAACTTTGATTTAAAATTAAAATCATAGCTTGATAAAAGTTAATGTCATCACTAGAAGAAAAAATGAAATATTTTTACAATTTGAATGTGCAGGCTTACAACAGTTCACATTTTTTAAAGTTATTTCTCATGTAAGTGTTAGTAGTTCTAGCCAGATTAATACAAATATTAACACAACAGTAAATCCTATGAAACACCTTTTGAGATCCTAATGCAGTCTTTGTAACATTTAGAAGATGCTCGAGTTAATTTATGGGTTTTTAAGGCTTTTTCTTTATGAGATCCCATTCACTCACTTATACACAATGATTGATCTATATTCTTGGCATTAGTGAAAAAGACTTAACTAAGAATAATTTCTTCTGAAATGCTGATAAATAAAACCTTTTTTAATGAGCTAATATCCTCCTCAGAGACAGTGGTGGTTCAGTGGTAGAATCCTCACCTTCCACAAAGGCGACCCAAGTTCGATTTCTGGCCAGTACACGTCGGTGCAACCACCACCCTTCTGTCAGTAGAGTCTTGCATGTCGCTATGAGGCTAAACTGACTTCAGTATATCCTCCAGACTAAGATAGACTGGGAAGAAAGGCCTAGAGATCTACTTCCAAAATATCAGCCTGTGAAAACCCTGTGGATCCGAAGGGTCCGATCCCATTGTGCATGGGGTCAGCATGAGTCAGGGACCAACTCAATAACCCCTATCAACAACAATATGCTTCTCTAAATAACCTAGAAAAGTAGACAGGAAAGTTTTGCTCCCAAATCCTTCCTTTGGAGACTGAATTGCATCCCGGGTTTCCTTCTTGAATGGACATGTATCTGTCAGGTACTAGTTTGATACTTTCTACCTGGTTGGTATTTGATATTTATAAATGTAAATATTTTTGATTGATGATTATTTGTACTTACATAAAATTGTATTTTTACAGCGGTGTCAGGGAAATTCTTGGTTACTTTGATTTAGATACAGTATAGGCAGCCTCTGGGTTACAAACAAGATCCGTTCCTAACTGTGTCTAAGAATTTGTAGGTCAGTTGAAACAAGTGCATATGGTTCTTATTGTGGTTAAGACATTTGGCTGCTAACCAAAAGGTGGTGATTCAAATCCACAAACGACTCTGTGAAAGAAAGATGGTATGGTCTGCTTCTGTAAAGATATGCAGCCTTGGAAACCCAGTGGCGGTTACTGTGAGTCAGAATCGACTCAATGGCAGTGAGTTTGCTTTTTGTTTTGTTTTTAATGAAAGGGCTCGATGCTTTTTCAGTGATTTGAAAGTTGCATGTGTAGCAAGTGAAGGTAGTTGTGATGAATGTGATGCAAGTAGAGGTCAGTTCAGTCGTTTCAGAGTATAAACTTACATAACATTAAAGGGCAGGTGGGAGTTGTCTGTTAAGTCTGATGTCATAACCCAGGGACTGCCTGTAAAAGCCTTAGAATTAGCTATCTACTGGCTATACCCAGAGAATTTATACTGCTAATCACTGGATCATTTGGTACCAGAGAAACAGCACCAACTTTGGAGTTACGGTGGCCATAGGCTTCCCCAGTTTGGACCCAGATTTGAACATAGAGACCTGGCTCTGCCTCCTGGTGTCATGACCACACTGATCATAACTGGATGAACAACTAATACAGCTTATCTGAAAACCATTCGACTCTGGTGGAAAGCTATGCCCTGCTCACTGTAGCACTTTTCAATCTAAGCATTAAAGCTTGTAATTGCGAACAGGAAGGATCTTAAACATGTTCTTGATAAAAGAAAATATATAATTTGCAGAAGGAGCCAAGGGCATATGAATTTAGGAATTGAGTGTTTCACTTTGGCTGGGTTTAAATGTCTGGACTACTTTCCTGGATGGAAATTCTAGGTAACTGTTTTGTAAAGATAGAAAAATATTTCAGAGAAAGTGAATTCATCTTTTGGTAAATTAAAGAGATAACTGCCCCCCCTCCTCCCAAGGTCTATGAATATACATAATACAAATACACAGATATCCCAACTAAGACTGACTTCTCCCTGCTTGCATTTAATATATGTTGCAAACTCTAAAATGGTTTCTCTGTAAGTCTGGCTCTTTTCTTCACTAGAAAATACAAAAGAATGAAAGGAAACACAGGGACTTTTCAGAAACCTGGAGTTAGGAAATAAAAGTATAATATTAATAACATTACACAGAAAAGACTTTCCCTGCATCCAGTAAGTTGATCCAGAAACACAGTTGAAAAAGAGTCTTTTAGGAATTTCTCTAGGGTCTCTAGAGCATGTGACTTTGCTATTTAAATCTTGTTCTATTGAAAGTTAAAAAGACAGCTTTGTCTTACCAGGGTATATTGATTTCTTATCTAATTGTTTTATTTTGTAAATTTCAGCCACCAGTTGTAAAAATACTTACCAATTCTAGATATTCTCAAAACACATTTGCACTTTATTCTACCCCTTTGACTTTAATGTTCCAAAGGGAACAAAGAGACAGGATTATCCAATGAAATTTGGGTCAGTTTTATCACCCAGAGAAAAAATGCTCAAAATATACTAGCCACACCTGAAATCATTATCACTCCCATCGCAAAAATTCTTGTGGGAAACAAGATGGACCTTGCAACATAGTCTTCTTACAGGAAAAGCCAGTTTTTGCATTGTCCCAATTCCATAAAGGCAAATACCTTTAAACCACCTCTATTTATTTGTGTGTTTGTCTTCTATGGGTTATTAAAGATCAAAATTCTTGGGAGACTGAGACTGCACAGTCTCTGTTCTCATATACCCCATCCACAGAAAGACATCAGATTGTCCCAGTAACCAGCATATAATCATTTCCCAGCTTCCTCTTAAAATGAAGCCAACTTTGAGCCATTAGTCACACAAAAACAAAGTGATTTGCAAAATCTAACCAGTTTGGAAAGACTAAGCAGTGAGACAACTAACTCCATTTTGTCTTGGCAAGTTTACTTGGCAAGACATCAGGTGACCCTTCTAGAAATTGCTTGAAACTAAGTTTTTGTTGTGGCATAAAATTTAGTAAACAGACATACATTATAATTTTGTTATTGACATCTCTAATCGTTCAGATATGTATTGAGAGACTACTGTGTGCTCTGTGGACAAGGTTAAGAAAGCTGTGGCAGCAACTTCCCATTCAGACTTCTGCCCAGACCACAGTGTGTGAGCACAGCCACAGAAGGGGTTTTCTGACCCTCCTCAGACTCCCACTGCCCTCTGTTGCAGGATTAGATAGAGTACCTGGGAAGGACCTTTTAAATACTGGGGTCCACTAGGTATAGCAGGCCTGACTTGCTTTCTCTGCCTTGTAAAACCTGCTGGAAGCTCTTGGATAAACTAATATCATGACCCTTCCCAGGCTGCTTAAAACTCCAGGCAGAGAGGGCTCAACATCAGCCATTGTCCAGCAGCTGATGCTGCCCTTGTTCCTTTGTGCACACACAGACCCTGAGGGCCAAGTGTCTACCACCAAGCCTGCACGCGCTCCCGGAACTGTGGCGAGCGAGTCAGCCGCTCACCTTAGCCCTAGCCCCAGGTGACCAAGAGCAGCCACCTGGAGCCCATCTCCCTGAATAAACATGAGGAAGATTATTACTATTATGAAAATAGGAGAACTGATTTTTAAAGATTTGGGATAACCATATATATCCATGAGTTTAAAGAAACCCTCTTTCCTTGCTGATATTTGTAAAAATTATATACATTTAAAAAAAAAAAAAAATTCAATGCCGTCTAGTTGGATCTGACTCATAGCAACCCATCCTTGGGTTTCTGAAACAGTATCACTATGGAAGTAGATTGCCAAACCTTCCTTCTGAGGAGTGGCTGGTGGGTTTGATCTGACAGCCTTCTGGTTAGCAGTCAAATGCCTTAGGCACTACGCTACCAGACACACACACACACACACACACAC